CGCAGAGAGAAATAGAAGAGCAACACTTGCGTTAGTATGCAACGTAGTGGCCGTCTCACTGGGCGGCAGGAGTGCTAGCATACTAGTCGCAGAGCCGCTCTCAGTAGTAGAAGTAGAACTTATGTTGGGCCCTGCTCTGGGTACGATAAGACTGCCCCTGCGAGCGTAGTACCCCAGCAGTAGTCTGAGTTTGATATGTAGTGCCAGCTCAAACTCTGGCCGTAGTGCATCTGCCTCCAGGCCTCCAAGTCAGTCCATGCCAGGGCCCCATCCTGCCGCAGCCGCCGCAGACTTGTACCTTGTGCGGGTGTCTCCGCTCTCGCTCGTGGCCTGGTAGTACCTGGTCTCCCAGCCCTTAGTAGGCTCGCTCGGCTTGTCGCGCGGCGCACGCGGCTGGAAGTTGCTGTGCGCCGTGTCTGGCGGAGCGGGCTCTGCGTGGTCTGCGGCTCCACGACGTCCGAACCCATCCCCATTCGCGCCATTGGTCCACTTGGTGTCGTAGTCGTCGATAGCGCCTGGAGCATCTAGTCCTGATGCAGCATCGAGCGCCTTCTTTACCTTGTCGATATGGTGCTCGAGATGTAATACCGCCTGCGCCCTCTCCATCTCCTCGCACGGGTTCTGGCTCGTGTTCGACTTGAGGCGGCCGAGCGAGATGACAAGGCGCTCTGCTTGTCGCTGAAGCCTTTTTCGCCAGACGCTGCGTTGGAGGAAGGCCTTCTTCGAATAACTTCGGAGTGGTGAGGAGGCTCGGGTGGGCGAGTTGGAGCCTGTACTCCATGCTGCCAAAGATCTGCTCGTCCTGACCGTTGCGGCGCTGGTTTCGCTGGACGAGGATCGGTAAATTATTCGCGCCGTCCTGCTGCTGACCACCCGTAGTATCCGGAGAGTCCGCCCACGCCGCTGCACGGCCTCCGCGTGGTATTGGACCATGACGTAACTGCGTAACTGCGCAGTCCGCTTGGTGGAGCTCGCGTAGTAGTTCGTCTCTGGAAGCCTGGCGAGTTGGAGCCGAAATGCTACGGCTGCGGGCCGACATGGTACGAACTCTGTGATGTCGTAGCCTGGGCGTAGTAGCTCTCCGCTCAGTGTGCTGGAAGCAGACATATCCTGGCTGGCGATGCTCTGTGGCCTGCTTGTGGTCTCGTGAGCCTTGCATGGGCCCCTCGGTGCTCTGTGCCTCTTTTCCCCGTGCCGAAGTTGGATGGAGCCCTGGCCGTCGTTGTTATTATCTGTGTCCCTCATGGTCTTTGCATGGCCTGAACCGCTGTAGGTCGGTCGTTTTCGCATGTAGCTGACGCGGCTCGGTTCCCTGGACTAGTTCCTCGGCGGTCTTGCAGAAATCCTTGGAGGGGGGGGGGGGGCGGCTTTTGAGACTCAAGTGCGACATGCACGCCGCCCTTGTAGTACCCATCACTGTGCAAAACAGAAGTATAGCAATGGTGGGCGAGGAGGGGGAAGCGGATGAGGTGGTGGGATCCGTCGGGGTTGTCCCGCCCCTCTCACTCGTCACATGTAGTAGTCCCTGGACCTGAGATCTCTGTAGTAGGTGGCCATGCGTAGTACATTAGACATATAACCACCGTGCACTTGTGCGCGATTACTTAGTTCTTAAAACCGCAGCACAAGGTCCTGACTGATCTGCAGAACTCTTTGTTCCTCTCTCGCGGCGGGCGGGAAACCTGGCAAAGGTGGTCGACGCGTTGGTCGTGCCGACAAGTGCGGAGCCTGCAGCAGCCTCCGATGGCTCTGGCGGGCTGCTGCTCGTGGTAACTGGTGGACTCCGTAGCGCCTGATCTCTCATGCCCCGCTCTTCTTGTGGAGCTGGCGTTCGGTCGTGCGCTCGAGCCCCGTCTTTGGCCCGCCAGACCTGCTCTTGCTGCCGCCCTGGTGCGCGATCGCCGCGTTGAGAGCCTGCTTGAACATCACCGCCTGGAAGCCCAGCAACCCCTTGATGTTCTGCTCCTCTATCTTGTCCAGGTACAGGGTGGCCATGAAGCATGGGCTGGCGTTGATCACGAACGTAATCTTGGCCTGGCGGTCCAGGTCCATAATGTCGTCCTTACGTCTCCTGCACCTTGCACTTCTTGAAGACCTCCGCGATGACCTTGAGGCCCCATTATCCCGCGATCTGCTGCGTGAGCTCCTGGAGTACCTGTAGTACTGGTACGAGTGCCCCTGGGAGTGTTTCCTCTTGTTGTAATTGCGTAAGCAATCCTTCCACTAGACTGGCTGCCACGTGTCCGTGGGGCGAACCGAGCTTGTGCCGTGTCTCGAGCTCCTTGACCTTGCGACCGTACTCCTTGCCAGTCTCCAGCGCGAGCTGCACGGCGAGGTTGGACATGTTCAGGAGCCAGAAATCGCCCACTTCGTTGGCCAGCTCTCGGGTGGCGGCGTTGTTCTGCAAGGTGAGTTCCTGCAGCGCCTTCATCTCGTCTCTGTCTGATCCTGCTAGTTGACCTTGTCCTCCGCCTCGTGCCCCACCGTGGGCCGATCACTGGCTGCCCTTGCCTATCCCTGCGACCGCCTTCGCTCCTCGCGGCTGTCCTTCTGGGATGGGCTCTCCTTCTCTTATTATAATCCAAGCCATTGCCCCGTGTAGTATGGGCCGCCTGGCCTCTGGGACCTCGAAGCTGGCCGGGGCCTGCAAGGTGGGTGCGCACGTGCTGCTGGAATTCTGAAAGGGTTTGGGCCTCATGGCCACATATAAAGCAAGAAAGTGTAGACGGAGGAAGTACGTCGTGCGACCATTTGGACCTGTCTAGGTGGCAAATCCCGTGGTAGTGTACTGCCCCTGTAGCATGATCCACCGCCGTCTTACGGTTGACAAATGTACTGTAGCACCAAGGGCACTGGCTGGTAACTACTACTGAAGCAACAATGGGCCGCACGTTGTGTACCTCTCGTCGGTGACCTGCCAATGCTGTGTAGGTAGGGAAGCGCTGACCACGTGTATGTTCTGTGCTGGAGGAGGGGGAAGAGGAGGAGGAGGAGGAGGAGGAGGAGGAGGAGGGAGAAAGACAGACTTAGAGGTCTTGGCCTTGGAAAACCATGGGCAAGCACCATCGTAGAGGAACTGTTCGTCACTCTGGAGGGGGGGGGGCGTCGCCCCAGCCAGGGGCCCGCAGCAGGTGCTTGCCCCAGGTCAGCACCAAACCATACTATCGTCTTCGAACGGGTCGGGGTCGTGCCGCAAGGCATCTATGCCGAGCTTCAGAGCCCGCTCTTCGCTTAGACCAAACCATTTGCATACAGCAGAAAAGCAGAGCTTAAGCTTGCCCGCAGAGCTCGGATCAATTCTGCTTCTCTCCGCCACCCTAGCTTGGCCAGCCTCCGACTGTCCCCCACTCCACCGAGGACCGAACAGCCGAGGAGCGAGGTCCCCAGGAGTTCGATGCTGGCCAATCTTATGGGCGCGGTTAGGGTGCACCATGCGAGCGAAAGCGTCGGTGTTTTTTCTCCACTGCACGTTGCAAGGACAGCTCCTAACCCAAGCAGCAGCCCTTCAGGCCCCTGGAGGTTGTAACAATCGTCGCCTTCCCGCCGCAGGTTGTGCACAAAAGGAGGCTGGGAAGAGGAACCTCCGTGGTCATCGCAGGAAGCTCCCAGAAGCACTGGCCCCCATAACTCCAGGGGGCAGAGGAATCCTGGTGCTCTGGGGCAAACGGAGCTTCCGCAGGACCGTCGAAGGGCGGCATTCCCTCAGCCCCCGACGGGGCCCTGAGCCCAAACTTCCTCCAGGAAGGGCATCGTGTCTCGAGGATGCCTCCAGGGAGACCATGGTCAACGCTTGGGACCCAACGTCATCATAGATTTCCTGGTCGCCGTAGTGCGCTTCCGCACGGGCAATATTCTCGGGCCGAGCGAGGGCCAAACAGACACGCAGGAGGAGGCGGTCGGCCTCAATGTGGCGGCCCAGCGCAGCTCCTTGCTTGACAAGGGCATCGGCCGTGTGGCCACCGTCCCGCTCAAACGCGGTCAGCTCACCCTCACGCACGTCGTGCGCGGTGGCATGCGCGGGCACCTTCTTCGCCGCCATGCTCTCCAGGCCTCCTGTGACGTGTGCCAGAGGCCGCAGGTGCCCTCGGATGTTGCCTGGCCTGCGACCGACCTCTGGACAGAGACAACAAGACAAGGTGCCCGCACAATCGGTGTGCAATGTGAACGTGTCTGCCAGATGCCTGGCCGCCATGAGTGCAGCGAGGTCATTTCCGTCCCTGGCGACATGGGCAGATAAGAAGTGAGCCAGGACCGAGTCGTACCAACCTGCCCCCCAAAAATGGGGATGAGGAGGAGGAGGAGGTGGAGGAGGAGGAGGAGGAGGAGGAGGAGGGCTGTGGTGCAAGGCGGTTGCCTTTAAGGGTAGTTGTCGAAGCTGGAGGAGAAGGAGGAGGAAGGAGAGGAGGGGAGGAGGGGAGGAGGAGCAGGACGAGGAGGAAGGGGGCAGGAGGAGAGGAGGAGGGATGAACTCGCGAGGAGGAGAAAAGGGAAGAGGAGGAAGAGGAGTGGGACGGGAGGAGGACAGGAACAAGGAAAGAAAGACGAGGAAAGGAGGAGGAGGAGGAGGAGGAGGATGAGGAAGAAGACGAGGAGGAGGATTGTAAAGGGGAAGAGGAAGAGGGGGGGACGAGGACGTCGAGGAGCAGGAGGAGGATGAGGAGGAGGAGGAGGAGGAGGAGGAGGAGAAGGATGAGGAGGAGGATTGTGGTGCAGCGCGGATGCTTTGAAGGGTGGCAGGAGGAGAAGGAGGAGAAGCAGGAGGAGGAATAAGATGAGGAAGATGAGGAAGAGGAGGGGACGAGGAGGAGGAGGAGGAGGGGGAAGGAGGAGAAGGAGAAGGAGGGAAGGGAGGAGGAGGGATGAACTCTCGAGGGGAATTGTGAAGGGGAGGAAGATAATGAGGAGGAGGAGGTGGAGGAAAAAGACAAGGAGGAGCAGGAGGAGGGTGGTGATGCGTTCGCATCATCCCCCTCCCCTGCCCCCATCGCATCAGAGTCCGCGTGGAGGAGCGCCGCCAGCGCGAAGGCGCCGAGCAGCATGTGCCCGACGGGGAGGGTGTCGGCGTCTGCCTCTTGGCGGCGCGTGTGCCGCCCAGGCCCCGAGGGGGCCCGGGGCCGAGGCGGGGGGGCGCCAAGGACCGCCCGCCACCGCCGCGTGCGCTCCAGACACGCCCCCTCGCCCTTCGGACCTCTTCCGCCGCCCGCCGGCCCCGCATCTCCCGTCGCCCGCCTCCCCGCCGCCCCCACGCGCCTCCCCGCCCGCCCCACCCCGCCCCCTTCGTTCGTCTTCCTGCCCCGCCTCTGCGTGCCCTCGTCCCCTTTTCCCCTTCGCGTCGGCCGCGGCCCGCCGCCAGGGCGCCGCCCAACCCCGAGGGGGGGGGCCGCGCGACCGTGGGGCCTGGTACGAACCGCGGTGCACGACGGCGACCTGGCGGAGGAGCCTCGGGAAGGGGGGGGGAGAACACGGGAGGGCGGAAGGCGCATGTAGGGCGGGCAGAAGGCTGGGAGGAGGGCCAGGGGCGGAGGGAGGGACGCGGCAGGAGGAGGGATACGACTCGATACGACCACTTGCAAGCGCGGCAGCAACATCAAGAAAAAAAAGCTGCCTTCCAGCAGCTGTGGACTCTGGATGTGTGTTCGCCGTGGGACGGGGCGATTTCCACAATCGCCCTGCAGGGGGATGCTCCCGGCCGAGTCCGAAACCCTCCGCAAGTGAGAAGGCCTGGCGGCCTTGGCCAAGCACCGTGAATCTGATAAGCTTGGAGATGCGACGAAGTAGCCACTCGCACGAACATGGGATGCGCGGATATCGATCAGCAACCGCAACTAGCTGGCAACAAGCTCGCCCACCCGCGTTGAAGTTAGAATCTCACCCCGCCCCCATGCCGAATAGAGGCGCGTGTACATGCGGGCTCGGGAAGAGCAGCGCGCATGAATGCGGGCTCGGGGAAAGCCTCATGCATGCATGCATGCGGGCTCGGGAAAAGCCGCGTGCATACATGCTGGCTCGGAACGTGATCGTGTAGAAAATCAGCATTCACTCGAAGTGCAACTAGCTGCAGTACGCTCTGTCATTCGGGGGCGCCGCTGCTATCTGTGGATCGGCTCGCACTTGCTTCGATCGCACATGAGATGAATGGGAAGCGAGTTCAACCAGAGAGAATGTGAATTGGAGCGGAGGGCATGCAAAGCATAGAAGTGCTCGCCTGCGCTCCAATCTGCTGGTGGGTAGAAAGGGCAACTACTTCGCTTCCTCGCCCTCGTCGCTGCTGACCTCCTCGCTGGGGCCCGTCCTCATGCAGAGCTCGGGCAGAGGGCCCCTCCGCCTCGCGCCCCAGGCCGCCTGCCGGCGGCCCTCCCAGCGCGGGCCGTGACTCCCGCGCCAAGAGACTCTGGCCCCTCGCTCCAGGACGCCGTCGAAATCTGGGTCTCCGCGGGGACCATGGACTGCAGCCTGAACGTGATGGGCTTCTCTTTCGTCTTTAGGTGGGCCGCGTGCGTCAATGCTTCGCCTGGTCCTGCAGAGCCCGCGGGCGGCCCGTCTGGCCTGCCGCGCCGGCGCCCCAGTAGACCTGACAGACTCCGCGAGCCTGAGCAGGAGCCTTGCCGAGCATTGGCAATCCAGATGAACGCCGTCCACGCACGGGGCCAATGGGGGCCCGCGCTGGTAGTCCTTGCCAGACTTCTTGCAGGACAGCGCGCGCTGCTTGCCCGATTCCTGAAGCTTCTTGGCGACGGTGTGCTCTGCTGAGAGCATGGAACAGCTGGAGAAGGCGCCGATCCGGTCGGCGAAGTCGCGACTGTTGGTCAGGCTCAGCCCGGCGAGAACTCTGACCAGCGCTTTGAAAGGGCCCAGCCGCGAACGATTCATCGCCTGTTCCACGCCCTGCTCGACTTCCTCGCGCGGGCACTCGCTGGCGCCCTGGCCCACGGGGATGGCCCGTGACAGGGGCTCGGGCTCTGCCATGATCTGCCGCCGTGGCGCCGCCGCCAACGGGGGGGTCGGGGCGGCGCCAGCGGCGCTCGCCGAAACCGCGGCCTCTGCCGCCGAACGCGATCGACAGGGTCGCGAAGTGCTGGCGGCGGCGCTGGCGAAGACGACGAGACTCAAACCCAGGGGGGCGCAGATGACCGCGCGGAACGACGCGGCCGCGCGCTTGCAGGCTGAGTTTCGCGCCTCGAAAACATGCCCGCTCACGAAACACTGGTTGTCTATGATCATAGGCCTAGGATGCTCTGCAATCCGCAACGTTGATGAAGGCGGTCCTTGGGCTGCAAATGTCTCGGCGTAGCCAGAGACGCACCGTCGGTAATAATCGCAATGAGAATCTCGGGGATCGTGCGGGGGGCCTTCCGTGTGCCCTTGCGCCTGACTCCCGAGGTTGAAAGGGGCCGCTCGCTGTCCGGGAAGCAGCTCTGAGCTGAGTCGCGTTCGCGCATCCACCCGATCCAGCCCAATCGATCGGAGTCGTCAAACAGGGGCAGGGGTCGGGGATCCCAATCGACAGTTCTGTCAAATCCCCCCGCCTACCCCACTGGAGAGGACTGGCCGCGTCTGTCACGAAGCCCAGGAAGGAGCGCCAGGGGCGGGGTGGCCTCATAGGTTCATCGCTTGAGTGTCCTGGTCACGTCTGGCCCGGATCACAACAAACGGAACCCCCAGTCGGCCGCTCGGCAGTGCGGCTGTCGAGCCCAGTTTCCTGAAATCCCTCCAAAAGCCAGACGCGAAGCTCGACTTCCAAAAGGGGGCGCCTCCGAAGCTGCAGCGCGCAGGGAGAGGGTCCGACCTGCGGCGATCGCCGCGCCGCTCCGCGGCCGCCCCTTCCAAGCGCCCGCCGACCAAACTCCGCCGCGACACCGCGGGCGCGAAGGATCTGCTCGGGGGCGGGGGGGCGGGGGCGGCCTCGAGAGCAGCGGCGGCAGGTGATGCCGCCGCGCTCGAGGACGTCGCGCTGCGTTCTACATGCGGGATGCGGGATTACTGCCAAGGTCGCCCCATAGACCAGCAGCCGGCGGCGATCGCAGAGAGCGTCGCTTGCATCTCGCCGCGAAGCCTGCCATCGAATTTGGCCAGGGGCCCGAAGCATGTGTCCTCGTCGTTCGGGGCGCCTGCCGCGGGTGAACATCGGCTCTTTACGATCTGCCGACGCGCTTGTCGACCGCCGCTCTGGAAACCAACGACCGTTTCACTCTCGACGGGGTTGGGCAGATCATGTCGGCGAGCAGGCGGCGACTCAGGATCTCACTCTACACGTTTGTTTACCGACGAAGAGACCTTGCGCCAGACTCCGATAAATCCGCGACAAGCTTGCGCGGCGAGTCGTCGACGCATCTATGGAACGAGAAGTCGCGCTGAACGGGTCATGTCCCTGAGCTCTCCCGCGAGCTCACCCGCGACCGCGAACCCCTCCCCGGCTGCCTCAGGACAGTCGCCGATATCTCGTTCAAGTGCTTTTGCTATCCGCAGGCCCACCCATGGAATGCCCCCACCCAAGGCTTGGCGCAGAACCGCGGCCATCAATGCCTCTGGAGCAGACCGCCAGAACATTGAAGCCCTCATGACCTCCACGTTGGCCTTCTCATGCCGCTTGATGCGCCCCCGCGATCGTTGGCAGCCCTGCAACCCGGCGCACGAAGTCGCCATCCGAGGGTCTGCCGAACAAGAAGGGGGGGCACCTGGTCACCGCCGAGCCACGCGTCCGCGAGATGCAAAGCTCATGCGTCGTTTCCTGCCGATCGACGCCGATGACAAATGGCGCTCTGTCGGATTGCCATAGCGCGCGAGCCGCTCTCGTCCAGAGAAGAGCCGCTGCCCAAGGAGGTACCAAATTCGGGGAGAATCCGTTGCGAGCGTCTTACCTTGAACGCGAATGACACCAGGGGGCCGCGGACCGCGCAGAGCCCGACAGACGGCGCGGCGCTTCTCACCCTGCGCCCCCGCGCCCCGTTGACCGCGCGCGGATCAGGAAAAAACGGAACTGGGAAATCCCTGGAGAACCCAGCCACTCAGGAACTGCCCGACGACGCCCGACTGCTTTCGAATAGCGGCGTGTCCGTCGCCGTCGCAGCTTTTCTTTCGCCCGCTGGACCCCCTCCCCCGCGTGCTGCGCCAAGAAAGAAGCTTCCTGTCCGTGATCAAAATCACGCGGGTGTTCCTCAGCGCGCGCGAGCCAATCCGCCACTGTCGCAGCCATGCCCCCCTGCGACGCTGGGAGTAGCCAGGTGTCCTGAAGCTCTTTGCCGGCGGGGAGGTCCGACGGCGGGCTCCTGTCGGCGCGCCGTTTCGGGTCTTCGCGTCCCAGTCGCAGAGCGGCGCGCACGTCTTATGCTACACGAGTTCGCCACTGCCTGCCTCCGAAGCGATCTCGGGTGCGCGGTCGAGAATCGAGCCCCTTCCCGAATCTACCAGCTCGAGGCTGGACGACTGGCCCAGGCGAGCGCGAACGGGGCGACGCCAGCGGAGTAGGGTCTGCATGCGTCGGGCTCCCCCAGGGTGATCTGTAGTTCTCTGAGCGGAACCCGCGGAGCATTTTCCTCCACGGCGCTCAGGGCGTTCACGAACTGGCCCAAGTCTACATTCAGTGTTCGTTGCCCCCGTCGGATGCGCCCCCAAGCCTCCCGTTCAGTTTCCAGAGCGGTATCCAACCCGCTCAAGATCTCGGCCCTGTGGGATCTCATGCGGAGGCTGTCCATGCTGGCATCTGTATCCGATTCCACCGATCGGGGAACGAAGCCAGCGCGCACGTTGGCATGAGGGCCCGTCTCCGCCACGCCAGTGGTATCTTCGATCGAGCAGCTAAACCTAACGCGCAGGGGGATGTGACCACAGTGCTCCTGGCGCCGAACGAGGTGCGACTGACGAGCGAGGGCGCGGGGAGGGCCTGCCGACGTTACTTGCTCCAGCGCGCATCTGGGGATGACACCGACGCTGGAGAATGAACCATCTCCCGCCAAGCCGAAGTACGTGGGGGGCCGTGCCGATAAGCAAATCTACGGGGCCTGCATCAGCGAGATCATGACATCAGCTGAGTAACGCTGCTGCCTGTCGACCTGGACGGTGGCCCACTCTTTACTGCCACGTAAACGAAGGCACCCGAAACCAAGGTTTAACGTCTAGAGCGATCACGCTTGAAGCACAAACAAACGCCAGAAACTGAGAAGCCCTGGCCCAACCTACTAGCCCATCGCAGGTTTTGACACATCCAGGGTAATCAAATGCCTTCGTTGGCGGCAGAGGGAAGTACACACTGGCATTTCCAATATCAAAGTAATTCGCTTGGCGCGTAAAGCGGCTCTACGACTTGCAATGTGTGGTATGGCTCGTGCGTCGCCGTGCCCTGTCGACTACGGGGCCCCAAGAGGATGGCGCACCCAGAACTGCGATCGCTGCCAAGAATTCCTGCCCAGCCCGCCGCCAATGCGCGTGTCTTAAACCAGACTGCCGTTTCCTCCCCGCGTTTCCTCCTGGCCCCCTGTGCCCGCCAAGCTGACGAAATCAAATCTCTCAATGAATTGGGAAGTGTCGGGAAACAGATCTCATGAAGCAGCAGCCAACATGCTGTATTGTATGGTCGATTTCGCTCGCATGATGCCCGCGACTGCCTTGACCTGGTGGCTGGCGACGATCTGCGGAACAATCCTCAAGAGCAGAAACCTCAGAGGATATGTGTTGGACCTGCCGCAATGTCATGCAGTATCGTCAAAACAATGAATGTGTGATGAGGGGCATGTACAATGGCTTCGTTATCGGATGCGGGCCTCCTGCCCTGTTGAGGACGAGGAGGAAGACGTGGATGATGACGCATTGGCGAGGAGGACGAGGGCAGGGGTTCTCTTGGCCGCGGCCGCGGAGTCTGGCCTCGGTCGGACCCTCTGGCCTTCTCGAGCACGCCGCCGATGGGGCGTCCCGCACCGAAGAGGCCACCCCCCGCGCTGAGACCGAAGAGCCCGCCGCCCGCGTTGGCACCGAACGCGCCCCCTGCCGTGATGGCGCGCCGAAGGGGCAGCCGCCGCCAGCCGGAGCGGCAATGAGCCCGCCGTCCATGGCGGCGGCGCCGTAGAAGCCACCAGCGGAACCCTGGGCGCCGAGCCCGCTGCCCGTGGCGGCGTCAGCGGGCAGGCCTCCGTCCGCAGTGGCGCCGAAGCGGCCACCGCTGCCGGCCCTGGCGTCGACGAAGCCATCATCTCTCGTCGTCTGCGGCGCCCGGGAGCACACACTCTGGGAAGTGCGCCATTCCAGAGCCTCGAGAAGGACCCCGCCGCCGCCGCCGCCGCCGCCTCTGGGCACACCGGAGTGCGCGCAGCGGAGCTTCGTCTCCTGGCCCGCGGCGACCTGGAGCTTCGCCGTCGCCCCCACTCGTTCTGTGGTGCTCTGGATCATCATTGCCAATGATGCACCATGAGGTGGGGACAAATATGGAGAACAACATGCTTCGACACTCGCAATGATCTGACACTCTATTTCCCAACACTTCGAGGCCCGCGGACTCGAACAGTGCCTGCTGCCATGACGCCTCGGCAGACCTGATCGGTGGGCAGGGTGCCAGGAATCCATCTTGGGCCAACAGGCGGCAAGGAAGGACATAGACGGGTGGTGAACGGGGGAAATGCTGAAGCTTAAATTTTGCATTGTAGGTGGAATACTCAACAGGGACGAGGGAGTTCCCCCCAGAAACCTTGTATTGTCCCCTTGTGTGCCCTAGCGGCGGTCCACATCATAATGCTCGTCGTACATCCCAGGAGTGAGCATTCACTGAAGATGCGCAACCAGGAGTAGCAGTGCACGACAGCTCCCCTACACTGCGATTGTCTGCATCTTGCTACCTTATCATGGAAATCGGCGACTAGCTTGCAAGCCAGCTAATTGTACACAACATGGTGAGAAACGGATCCTCTCGAACATGCTGTGGTCGCCCAACCTCACATGCTGCATCGACGAAGCTTTGGTAGGTGACAGTAGGCTCCGAATGTTAAGGAACCTTGTAGCAACATGGCGGCCGGTCTCATGGACCTCGAACGTATTTTTGAATGCGACTTTGGACCCATAAGTAACCACGACGAGCTGAGCTAAACAATTGTCGCACAACCACTTTCGTCGAGGTAACGCACAATTGCAATGTAGTCGTCGAAAGACTCCCCACTCACGCCGGGAGAGATAAATAGAGAGAGAGAGAGTAAGAGAAAAGGCACGATGGAGGCAGACGAACTGACAGACAGACAGGCAGACAGGCCTTCTGTCTGAAACATCAGCATGCCCCAGGACGGAGCCACCTGCCCAGCGTGCCCCTGATGCGACAGTGCCGGGACGAATCGGTACGACTGTGTGCGCTTCCGTCGCTGGCCTCCGTCGCTGGCTTGGCGGCCACCTGCGAAGGGCATGACAAGGGGAGCCAGGCTCGGCTGCCCGTGAGCCGAATGGCTCGAGCCAGCAGGGGAAGGCAGAACACGAGAAGGACGGGGAGGAGGGGGAGAGGGACAGAGAGGCAGACAGAGAGAGAGAGAGATGAGAGCGAGAGAGAGAGAGAGAACGAAAGACAGAGAAGGAAAAAGAGGGAGAGAGAGAGGGGGAGCCACAGCACCATCGCCAGCGAGCAAGCGTCCACGAGCTGGTAGACCAGGTCCCCCGAGGCGTCCACGGGCAGGTAGCCGTTCAGCCACGTGGTCGAGGACAGGCGCAGCGCCAGCGAGGCGGCCTTCCAGTCGCTTTGGGGCCCAGGGGCGATCCCAGGAGGGGATGCTGGACGAGGGCCGCTCGCCTCTTTCGGAGGCGACGCACCCCTACCGCCCAGCCGTGCGGCGCAGGAGGGCACGGCGTCAGACGATGGGATGAGGACGGCCTGTTTTGTTCGGAGCCGACGTATCAATGCCGTGGGGCTGGAAAACAGACGCTGCGGACGTGAGGGGAAGGAGAGCAGAGGATGACTGCAGAGCTGGATCTCAGGGCCCCCCACAGCAGGACACTGCCGACCAAGACTTTGAGAACATTCCACCATGAGAGAGCGAGGGACGAACAAAAATTCTCGACCCACGGCTAACACTTTCTTGTGTGCCCCACGGTCCTGGTTGACCGATGTCTCTGTTTAGGGAGCCCCGAAGATCGTCGTGGATGCAGCGGCCGGAAAGCCAGCCCAAGTTAAGAAAGCCTTGCATGGCGAACTCTCTCCAAAGACAACGGGGATCATCGCCTCCCGCCGCCCCTAGGAGGGCCTCTGGGGTAGATTTCTTCAAGTCAGTAGCGCAAGGCTGCTAACGGTTCCGCACTTCGACGCAGCTACCACCGGTAGCCACCAACAAAAACGCTCCCCGACGTGCGGTACACTTGGGAATGACAACGCCCCTCATGTCTTGGTGACCGTCCCTGGCTGCGCCGTGCTGATAGCCTCATGCCTCTCGAGGGACTCGAATTTCGCGTGCTCGCAAGGGGCAAGGATACTGGCTCGTGAGCATTCACCACCTGCGCAGAAACGTGCGCCTCATGTCAAATACCAGCTGCGGCTTCCTACTGGAGGATTCAGGGGGAACTCGCACCTCTGGAGGAACTTCATGTACTGCGCTCTGATATCCTCGTCGAGGCTGTCCTTCTTTGCGATGAGCTTCTCGTACCCCTTCATCTCATCGGCCATCGAAGTCCAGTCAGACCCATCCACAAGCTGCACAATCATGCAGGTTATGTTGTCGCGACTGTTCCTCTTCAAGCACATGTGGATGACCTCGGTGGCAAGCTCGCCTAGGTCCAGGTCTGGGTCGCCCGACAGCTTGTCCCGCACCATGATCGCCAGGTCCTCGCCGCTTATGACGTCCCACACGCCGTCGCAAGCCAAGATGATGATGGCGCCTTGCCGAAGTCCAGACATCTCGTAAAGATCTGGGATGCAGGAGACCTTCTGCTCCTCAACGGGCCTTCCGGCGTCAGCCTTATACTCAAAATCGCCGAGGCCGCGGCTCACGGCGAGGTTGCCGTCCAGCCTCGCGGGGTACTCCTCGGAGACGCTGCCGCCGGCCGCCTCGATCCTCACCTTCTCGGTGGCGTGATTCGGCTTGTGGTCTACGGTCTCGGCAATCAGGGGCCACTTGCACTTCGGCGCGGTGTCGCCCCTGCGCACTGCGGCCAGGTCGCTGGCCAAGGCCTCGATGTGCTGCGGTATCCTCACTGTAATGGGCGGCGCGGTGGCCTCCTTCTCGCTGGGCCCTCTGACGACGATGCAGCGGGAGTCGCCGCAGTTGCACAGCTTGAGGGTGAACTCGTCGCCCTGCCGCAGGCAGAGGGCGCCCACGACGGTGGACCCGGACTCCTGGACCGGATCCGCCTCCAGCTTCTCGCGGAGGCGCCGGTCGACTGCGACGAAACCCTGCTCCAGGCGGCTGTCTGGCGGCAGCGTGGTGGAGCTGTCGCTGACGTCGCCCTCGAACTCCCTGGCCAGCGCGGGGGCGCTGTCGATCGCGGCGAAGGAGCCGCCGTGCCCGTCGAGCACCCACCACGCCGCGCAGGAGTCCGAGCACCGCATCTCGTGCGCGTCTTCGTGGCTCACCCGCCAGCCCTGCATCTCCGCGACGGCGCACCGGAAGCTCCGGCTGCCCTTCCTCTGCACCCGGATGAGCTCCACCGGGGAGCTCAGCACAGACCCCATGGTTCCGACGCTGGGCGGCGGCCAGGGGGGGGTGCCCGGCGGTGCTTCCCCTTGAGCCGAAGCGTCTACGGACGGGGAAGACGATTAGAGTCAACCAGTATAGTAAGGATGCGCGATAAGGATGCAAGGGCCTTGGATGCCCATTTCGAAGCTTTTCGAACGGGGCGCGGCAAGCGAAGGCGGCGAAAGATGGACCGAGGAGGCAAGGCTGCAAGGGGTACCCTTGGGAAGGTTGCCCATCCTTACTATCATTGTTGACTGGACAGTCATCGTGCAACAACTGTCGCCGCGCCGCTTGCTCTCAGCGCGCTCAAGAAGACGAAACTGACACCGCGGCAAACCCACGGCAAACTCTGCGTCCGAGGCGGAGCTTGCCCTGGCGGCCGAGGCTCCCTCCCCAAGACGGAAGGCCGCGAGCCGGGACAAGCGGCTCGACGACTCCGGGCCACGGCGAGCCTCGGCCACGAAGAGATGCCTGGCCTGGACCGAGGGAGCGGCCCGAAAAAACGGAGCCCATCCCTCGCCTCCCTCGCCTCCCTGCTTGCTGTTTCCCTCCGTCCCTTCCCGCCTGCCCGCCCGTCTGCTTCGTCCCGCCGGCCCTGGCCTCCCGCCTGCGCGTTTGCTTTCGTCTGCTTGCTTCTCGTTCCCTTTCTCCCTCCCCGTCGCCGCGCAGCACAGACTGCCAGGAGCCGGCGGCGCTGGACCGCGACCTCCGGGTTTTTCCCTACATCCAAAGTGGGGTTCTTGTTTTCTATGCACATCCTCCGCGCAGGATCTCTCCTCCTCCTCCCCGCCTTTCTCTCTCCTCCATTCGCACACTCACTCAATCACTTACACGAACCATCATCACTCACACTCGCCCCCTCACGCACACAATCATCACCATCGCCGTCCTCACTCGCACATTCATTCATTTACATGCTCATCATCAACACTCACTCACTCGCTCACTCGCTCACTCACCCACCTACACACCCAACCGGGAACCTCGTCTGTGAGTGATTTGCGAAGACTTTTCAGGTGGGAGCCCCCTCCCTGTGGGGCCCGCAGCTCATGTGAGCAATCCGAACGGGTCATCGGCCTCCTGCATCTGTCGTTACTTTTGGGCCCCTGAAACCTGGGTCTAGAGGGAGTATCAGGCGGGAGCCTCGTCTGTGAGTGCATTGCGAAGACTATTCAGGTGGGAGCCCCCTCCCTGTGGGGCCCGCAGCTCATATGATCCGACTGGGTCATCGGCCTCCTGCAGGAGTATCAGGCGGGAGCCTCGTCAGTGAGTGAATTGCAAGGAAGTCTCAGGCGGGAGCCCCCTTCCCTATGGGGCCCGCAGCTCATGTGAGTAATCCGAACTGGTCATCGGCCTCCTGCAACTGTCGTTACTTTTGGGCCCCTGAGGCCTGCATATGGAGGGAATATCAAGCGGGAGCCTCGTCTGCGAGTGAATTGCGAAAGAGTCTGAAGCGGGAACGCCCTCCGTATGGGGCCCGCCGCTCATGTGAGTAATCCGAGCGGGTCATCGGCCTCCTGTGTTGTCATCTTTTTTTGGGCCAAAAAGTCTGAGGCAGGAGCCCCCTCTCTATGGGGCTCGCACTTCATGTTCGAATCCGATGTGGGTCATCGGCCTCCTGTAACTGTCGTCAATTTGGGGCTCCTGCGGCCTGAATATGACGGAAGTATCAGGCGGGAGCCTCGTCTGTGAGTGCATTGCGAAGACTTTTCACGTGGGAACCCCCTTACCTATGGTGCCCGCAATTCACGTTCGAATCCGAGTCGGGTCATCGGAAACCTCCAAGTGTCATCACACTCGGGCCCTTGAGGCTTGAAAGTGAAGAAGTATGAAACGGGAGCCTCGTCTGCGAGTGAATTGCGAAAGAATATGAAGCGGGAGTCCCCTCCCTATGGGGCCCGCAGCTCATATTAGTAATCCGAACGGGTCATCGGCCTCTTGTATCTGTCCTCATTTCTGGGCTCCTGGGGCATGAATCTGGGGTACGTATCAGGCGGGAGCCTCGTCTGTGAGTTAACTGCGAGGAAGTCTCAGGCGGGAGCCCCCTCTCTATGGGGCTCGCACTTCATGTTCGAATCCGAGGCGGGCCATCGGAAACCTTTCACTGTCATCACACTCGGGCCACTGAGGCTTGAAAGTGAAGAAAGATGAGGCGGGAGCCTCGTCTGCGAGTGAATTGCGAGGAAGTCTCAGGCGGGAGCCCCCTCCCTATGGGGCCCGCATCTCATATGAGCAATCCGAGCGGGCCGTCGGAAACCTGTATGGATCTTGGGGAAGTATAGATGAGGCGGGAGTTTCGTTTGTGAGTGAATTGCGGGTCGCCTGTTCCGAACTTGTCGTCGGGAAATGTGTTGCTGTCATGGGCCCGCGTGCCCGAAAAATGCAGTGGCGACGCCGTGGCGGCTTGAGGGCGTCATGGAAGGTTTCTTGGGGGCTTCCTGGAAGGTCTTCCTTGGCCTCGGGGTTTCGTGGTATCCTTTTGGGCTTTTTTGGGGGCTGTTCGGGGATTGTCTATTTTCTCTGGACACCCCGCGCAATCCTGCCACCTCACCCCATTTCCTTTTCTGCCTTCGCACGTTCATTCGCTCAATCACTCACGCACCATCATCATCAACACACCTTCAGCTTCTTCTCCCTTCTCACACTCAGTCACTCAATCATTCGCACCATCATCATCAGTCACACACCCACCACACACGATCAGTCTATGACGCAATCACTCACTCACAGTCAATCATTCACACCATCATCATAAGTCGCACAGCCACCACACACGATCGTTCTATCGCGCACTCAAAATTGGCCTCATCATCATCTCAATCATCATCATCATCACTCACATTAGCATGATCATCACTCGCGTGTGTGTCGTGTCGGGCTGGAGCCTCGTCTGTGAGTGACTACGCAAAAGTCTCAGGCGGGAGCCCTTTCCCTATGGGGCCCGCGCTTCATGTTCGAATCCACGGCGAGTCATCGGCCTCCTGTAACTGTCGTCAATTTTGGGATCCTGAGGCCTGGATATGGATTAAGTATCCGGCGGGAGCCTCGTCTGTGAGTGAAT